TGTTGCTGTTAACACCTCCAATAAGGAGGCAAATATTTCCCCATTATCTTTCCTTAAGCATGAAGGAAAAGTATTCATTGGGTTATAATGGAGTTATGGCAAGGAGCCAGAGTTCTGCTACTACACTAACCATTATTTCCGCTTGGATCTTCAAGTACAGAACAGCTATTGGGGTGGGGCGTTCAGAACATTTATTGCTTTTGCCAGTGCTTCCCCCCCAATAAAAATATATATGTTTAGGGGTACTCTCATTTTCCTACTCATATTGAAATATTGCCCCTCAATGAGGCCAAACTTAGATTCACAAAATGTTTAGGGGTATGCGTACCCCTGCGTACGCCCAGAAAAAAAGCACTGGCTTTGCACAATTAATTTCACCTTTATAATTCCTATTCAGTGACATTGATTTCCTCTCTGCTGTTGCTCCATTTTGTTTCCTCCTGAAGGCTTTCATTTTCCTTCCCATATTACTCACACGATGGCCTTAGTCTGTAGTCTGTCAGGGATACTATAAGAGACAAGGTGTCAGGTTAGACCAGTCATTCAGATTTGTGATGAAGGAAAGCCAAAATGAATCTAGAATAACCTTATTCAGTTGTTCACACGCACACCGCCCCTCAAATAGAATCGAAAGAAGGGGACAACAGGGATACCAAACCTATTGGCTCTACCAACCATGCTATGCATTCCTACTGCCCTCCATGTGTTGGAAGGATAACCTATGCCGCAGGGAACCTTCCTTACTTGTGATGTAGAAACCGGCGTAGGGTGTTGAATGGATTGTGGAGGATGCACAATTAGAGAAAGTTCCCCACGGCAGACATTCAGCCCCCAACATGTGGGGTGGTGGAGGATTAAAAGGGTACAGCAGTTGGGAAAAATAACACCCAAAGAAGGCTAACGAGGACATTTATTGCTGCGTTAGCCCCATAACCCCCATCCCGTCTAGTCCAGGATGAAGAACCAAGCAAGATGATGATGTAACACCACTATGTCACTAACAAGATATGGCAAGGTGCTAATGCCACCAAGAACAAATTAAATTGTTGCCGCAGTGGCGGCTGTTATATTTTATTATCCTCCCCCCATCTGTCCTTCACGCTAAGGTCCTGGGCTGCGTTGCAGTCATTTAAAATACAACATTAAGAACAGCTTTAAAACACACACACTTTGCAAACACGCACAAAAATAGCATAGGTTCTCAGTTGTCAAAGGCCAGCGGTAAAGAGGTGCATTTCCAGCATTTGCCAAAAACTGTTTAATGAAGTTGCCAGGTGCACCTTCCCACAACTTAGGGGACACCACAGAGAAGGCCCTGTCCCGCCACCACACTTGAATCTCCGAGGAAAGCAGAACTACCAAAAGGGCCCCCTCTGCTGATCTTTACACCTGAGGGAGTTTGTAGAGAAGGAAGCAGTCTCTCAGATATTCAGGGTCTGGGTCATATAGAGCTTTCAGCAGAATAAGGGCAGTGCATCCTTTCTGGTAACTGCAAAATCACTGAAAGTGGTGTTTTGTTTTGTTTTATCATTTTTGATGCTGTCACAAATGCAGAAAAGGTGAGTAATTTTGCCTTAGCCATACAATAATATACTTGAAATGAATCCCCTACTTTGGAGATGGGTGCAACAAAAGATGCTATGAGCAGCAAGAATCTGGGGCACTTTCAAGTATAGGAAAAGCAGTTTAACTAGCAGTTTAACTATTTATAGTTCAGTGATGGCCAAACTTGGCCCTCCAGCTGTTTTGGGACTACAGTTCCCATAATCCCTGACCACTGGTACTGTTAGTTAGGGATGATGTGAGTTGTAGTTCCAAAACAGCTGGAGGGCCAGGTTTGGCCATCACTGCTATAGTTCAACTACCCTACAGCACAGCAAACCATGACTTGCTGGATTCCAACCTAGGTTTTCCTAGGATCTACTACTGGATTCCTCAGGCAGAAGGTCATTGGCTATGTGCCACTGCTTATAAACTTCCCAGAGTCATAAGGCTGAATGCTGATAGAAGCAGGATGTTGGACTAGATCAGGGTTGAGGAACTAGTGTGGCTTCCCAGATGTTGCTGTATCCCAACTTCCATCAGCCACCCACAGCATGGTCAAAGGTCTGGGATGATGGGAATTGTAGTCCAGGAACATCTGGAGGGCTTGACAGGTTGGCTACCGCTAGATTAGATGGTGGTTTGGTCTCCTCCAACAAAGCTCTCTTTAGGATTTAGGTTCTTTTGTTCTTACGAGACATTCTCAGCTCATTGTGTCTCCATTCTTTTTAAAAAGAAAAATAGTTGATTGCAAAGCTGAAATACAATTAGGATTTGAAGTCTGGTAGTGTGTGTGTGTGTGTGTGTGTGTGTGTGGATCATACTGTGAGGAAATTAGAGAGACTTGAACAAATCCAGTAGGCTTAATTTACTGAAGAGCCTGCTTAATGCCAAAGCCGAAAGCATAAAAAAATTAAATTAAATTTGGACAGATTCATATTTGGTAATTTAGGGATAAGAAGAGAGAGAGAGAGAGAGAGAGAGAGAGAGGATGGTTTAATGAGTAGGTTAGTTATACATTCTCCCAATAGCCTGATTGGACAAACGAGACATTTGTTCAGGACAGTCTTTAAGAAGTACTCTGTATCCATCTGCTCAGCAATCTTCTCTAATGTATATCTTTTCATTATTCCTGTGAAAGAAGAAAAATACAGATCACTTCTTTCAAAAACAATCACAACTTCAAAGAGGAAAACTTCATGTTGCAAAACAGCACAAACAACTGGAAATGTCTGTATCGAAATTATGATTACACTTCCAGAAACGGATGAATATGCAGCAGCTTTTGCCATCCCCCCCGCCCCCCATCTCCTATCTCAAAATCTTGTCAGTTGAGTAAGTTTTTGACTTTGGTGTGATAAGCCACCTTTTAGGCCAGACATCTTTTTACAGATAATATTTTAACACCAAGTCTGTTCTTCGTAAGTAACTGTCAGGAATGTGGCCCTCCACAGCGCAGCGGAAGGCACTGAGCCTCCGAAATTGAGTTAAGCGAGCAAGGGGCTGACTCTGCAGATGTAAATAAACATACATAAAACTGATGGAGAGTCATTGCTGCTTATCAGGCTGCTTGCCTGCCAAGAGATCATTATAGTAACTGTCTTAGCGGTTCAGGAGTGTCAGGTGCCAAAGAGTCATATTGGTTCCAAACAATGCAGCTCTGGGTCCTCCAGGCAGCCAAATAAAGTTGTGAATGCTTGAAATAAAAAGAAGTGGAACCCAGCACAAAATCTGCTTGCCCATTTGTTGCCCTTACTACTTAGTGCTGGGCATCAAGAGATGCCACCCAGGCACAATGCCAGGCACTCACAGATCACAGCACACTACACCTGAACCGCCCCCACCAGCCTGAAAACAAATCATTGGTCATTCCTGCACCCGAGCCGTTGGACCAGATCTGCCAGCAAAAGGATGCAGCTCTAGCCAAATCATTTCTTAGATGTTTCCTAATAACCCCTGCAAAGCTCGAGGCAACTGGCGAAGGAAAGAGCAAAACATTTCTCTGTGGAAAGTGCACATTTTCCATGTGTCCTGCTGTAGGAATCTTTCTTCCAATTATTCCATCTCTTCATAACTGGCTTCTGTAGGTGAGGGGAGTTAACCTTATAAATTTGCAAAGTGCCCCTTGTGATATTAAAATTCTGCGGTTCCTAAATATTTAATATGTATCAGCTGCCTAGCAGAACCGGAGTTAAGAAGCTCGTGCCAATACATTGCTTTCCTTCAAGGAGATTGCAGATGCTGCTCACGACTGGCAAAACATTTTGTGTT